GGTCATTCTACTCTGACATGTTGTCAGACTCTTGGCTCATTAGGGTTTAATCGTGGCCCAAAAGTGAAGTTGGTGGAGAAGAGGAGAGGGAAGGAAAGGGGGAGGGGAAAAGTGGAAGTAATTTGGGAAAGCTGACTAAATTTTTCATTGATAATTTCTAATGTCCTTTATACATATTTATAGTATCAATCATTGGTACCAGGATAGACAACTGTACGATGAAAGCAATACACTGCCAACTGTAACTATGAGCTGGTTTGAATATTCTCAACATAATCCCTACAGTAATAACCCTAAATTGCCCCAATTCTTTTCCTTTATTCCTGACATTATCATGGTTAAAATATGTCCGAGCAAATTTGAAGAAGGGATGGAGTTCTAAGACTTCCAAAGTTTTAACCTGGCAATGCTTGGAAAACAGACCTAACATCTACTGAATAAAATCATTCTCTTCTGTTTAAGGTCATGCAAGCCTGATATTTTAGGAACATTGATTTCAAATTTGCTCAATTAGGTAACAGAATGAACAACACAGTGCAGTATCATAGCAGAGGATTATTGGAAGGCCTGAGACATTTTTTTTTTGCTAAAGCACAAACAAAAACCTTCTGTAAAAAAATAAAGAAAATAAAAGAATCTTAACTGAAATTGAGGAGGATGTTTTATCAAACACACTTATCCAATTGCAGTTCTCCAAGTCCTCTCTCCAATTTTGGTCAAAATTCTTCAATTTTCTTCAAGATTTAATGTGTTTTCTGTTTTAGATGTTTTCTTGAGAAAAAAAAAGAGAGATTGATTTGTATTTTAAATGAGATTTCAATAGGTTATTTGATTGAGTTTTGCATTTGTTCAAAACAAGACTAGGTTGTAATTTTCCAAACTAATAAACCTAGTTATAATTAGGCCTAACACCCAAATTTCTCCATAATTTATACTAGATCATCCTTATCACCAAGCTAAAGTAACTGAGGCAAAATCGTCAAGGTTACCCTCTTTTTTGCACTGGAATGCAGAGTCTCACTTCCTTTATCTCAACAATCAGCAAAACAAGGAGCTTCATTAGGACTAACTTGTAGATTAAGCTGAATAAACTTTCAATCAGAGTAAGACATTTTTACCTCAACTTTGTATCAGTTAAATTCAGAATTAACGCAACAAGTATCTTTTCATGATTCTTTCTGAAGCTATCAGCATCAGATGGCTCCGATGGGAAAAACACCTAAAAGTAAAATATCAAAAGATGGAAGTACCAGTAAATTATACATCACAAGCAAAATGTGAGAATCTACACCATGTACAAATGCAAGAGGGAGAAAAGGATGATTATAAATGTTTTGGATATGCAGCTAGATAAATTGTATACAATTCTCATGTATTTTAGCCTACATAGAAAACTCTCACACTCATTGACCCAAGGTGTGACACTAAATCATTGAAAACATGAGAAAGAATTACTGGCTTATAGACATATCTTTCCTCTTGCCTCCCCTTTGGTCAACTTAGCAAGCTGTATCTCTAAGGAATTGGAGCATAGGAAGAATGCCATTGCAAGTACCATTTGTCCCAGAAATATTGAAATTCATATTTATGGCTGTAGTGTTTTTCCTGCATTTATAAGGGCAGAAGACTTCATGAGTGAACCAATATTAGACATTAAATTAATGGGGTATGTTTTGAGAACAGAGTCAATTTCGTCTTTATGAATGCTCCACAACTTAATTTTGATCAACTTATAAGGTAGGACCTATCAAGGGTTTTGAAGCCAAAATAAAGTATAGCCAGAATCTCTATCATAGATGACCTCAATATATCTGGCTGCAAATTATTCTGAAGCCAAAGTAAAGCTAGTCAAATTCTGTGTGGAGAGTTTTATCAAACAATTGTCAGGTGGTGGCTTTAACCTCAACTTAATTCTATTTTAAGTTACCATTTGCAAAGTTCTAGCCAGCTCAGTCCCTCACGAGAAATCTAATTCAAGCCCCACAACCAGATCGCTAAGAATGAAAAGTTAAAGAAAATGGCCGATGCAATTGTAAAGAATAGATAACAAGTATAAAGTGCTGTTTCACAAGGCTTTCCAGTTTGAAATTTACAGCACAGATTCACATGAGCAACTAAAGAGCTTAACACAAGAAAGAAACACAGAGAAAATTCACATAGGACAATTCTGACTTTCAGTTAAACTACATTTCCCTCAAAGACCTGTAAAGCTTCATCATTTGCATTTTATGGGACTTTGATACTTGAATATCTGATTTTCCGCGCTCTCATTGATTAAACAAAGTTTACCTTCAAATATTTGACAGAAAAGGATTAGCTTTCATAAGCCATGCATTCTTCTCGGTTCTGCAGTTCAGATGCGACCTCTGTCATAAGACCATAACAGCATCGACATTATGGTTCATCTCGTTGTCCTGGTTTTTCCACAAGATAAGCAGAATTCATGTTTTTACCATATTTTCAGGACTACAGAAAATGACATCATTGTCAGTCCTACTGCAAAAGGTACTCTAATTTCTCTTCAGTTATGGGTAATATTTTATCCTAATCACTTACTGATGAAACCTGTCAACAAAATGCATTCATTAGGAGTAATTTTTCGAACAATAAAATCATTTCAAGAATTAATAGTGTCAGCATTTCAAGTTTCCAAAATCATCTTTCTAAAAACCTTGGAGATAGTCTCTTGAAGTTGAATTGAATTAAAGAGGAAAAAAAAGGAAAACGATAAACATGACTAATTGTAATAACTTTTTTGATAGCAAAAATAAAATATATCTTTATGAGACAAGGAAAATAAAGCATATGATTCCCTAGGTACAAAAGGGCACCACCAAGCAACAAAACTAATGACAAGAGCATCAACACATGATTCATAACAGAGGGGTCAACTCTGAATTTGATTGCATCAGCTGTAGGACGTGTTTTCAGATAATACATCCTGGTTTTTAGACCTTGTAAAATTAGATGAAAGAAAAAGTAGAAGCAACAATTTAAATACCTATGCATATATATATATACATATATAAATGAGCTACTTTGAGAATCACAATATCAACTAAAAGATAAAAATATCTTGCTATTCCATGTGTAGGGCTCAACATGAATGATCAACGGTGAAGTTCTAAAAGGAGGAGAGCGAAACAGGCACAAATGGTCCAGATAGCTGATTTTAAGAACAAAATAAGTATCTTTTATTAATTGTAAGCTATACCTAGCTGGTGCAATATGGCCAAGGATGGGCAAGTAAAACAGAGAATATTTAGATCACCGGAAGCCAAAATTTAAAATGGCTTGGAAAGCAAGCTACCTTAAGCACTCTCTTGAACAGGTGCTCTATTACAGAAAGATTTCTAGACTGTTTTAAATTTAAAACAACATACAAAAAGTACCTTCAAGCAAGCGTAGAAGTGCAAGGAAGTACGCTTCTCAGGATCAGGTTGTGCAATGTGAATATTAAGACTGACTGCGATCTATGAAGCATCAACAATCGATAACCATGTCAAGTAATATTTTTTGCTCTATTTCTCCCAGAATCCTTTATTTATGTAACAATACCAGTTTAGTATA